GTTCTCCGATAGCAGAAGGGAGGCTATGTGACAGCCAAGCAACACCAGTCAAGTAGAAAACAAAACCAAAAGCAAAATGAAAAACAAAAGCAATAATGAGATAACAACAAAGCAAGACAAGAAAAAAAAAGAAGAATTCAGCATCAGAAAAAACGAGATTAATTAAGTCAATCTCTAGTCACACACACAAAGAAAAAAAAAAAAGGACCCTGTATAGGGTTTCTAAGGAGCAGCTTGTGGGCTCGAACCACCAACCTTGCAGTTCAAAAGGCTCTGCAGTCTGGTCCTTTAACCCGCAGAGCCATAGCAGGACTGCCTTGTTGCTGGTGGTAAAAACCACCTCAAAGCGTCTCCGCTTGTGCTAGCTTGTGCCTTGATGGGCGGGCCTGAGCCTCGGAGGTTGGGCAGAGGGCTAGCCTAGGCAGAGGGCAGGATTAGTGGCTGCAGGCAGATGGCGTCCCTGTCTGACGGCTTCAAAAAATGCATCTCTCTATCTCCCTGCACCGTGGGCACCCGGCCCGACAACGCCTCCTATGGCAATGAGCCCCCCCGCCACGAAGGACTGTGCCAGTTCCTGTGGCCCCGCTAGCTCTCTGGGTGCACCTGCCTTCCGAATGGGTCTGCTCAAGCCCTGTGCTCCAAGCTCCGCAGGGGTCGGGTGCAGTCCCGGAGCGGGAGCCACGCGCAGGTCCAAAATGCCCACAACTCCCCAGCAGCTTGACCCTTCAAAAAAGCAAGTCCACAATGTTGGAGGCTAAAGTCTTACATTTGCCCAAAGACTGGCTGTCTACCAGGCGGGGGCCTCCTCTGTGCGATACCACCCACCCTTTCCTGGAGCCTGCGCACCTGTGCTGCCTGGTCAAGGAGGTGCTGGAAGTTCCTTATTTTTTTTGAAAGTGAGGTTCTCTTTATTTGATTTTGCAAAATTGGGCACCCAACTCCGTAAACAAGGGAGATGTGCTGCATGGCCATTTGACAAAGAGTTTTATTAACCTAACTCAGAAAAAGCCCGTCCTCCATTTCCCTTTTACTGGGTACTTTGGTGCTTACAATCTTTCCTGAATGGTGCCTACTAGTCCCTACAGGGAGCATTCTCATTTAAAGTTAGTTTCACCCCCTCTCCATGAACTTCCTCTATTTCCTTGATGGGTGTATTCTTGTTTTAAAAGAGTCTAGTAAGTCAAACTAGTCTCTTCTTCTCCTCAGAGTTCCTTTTGTCATGCCAACCTGCTACCCCCAAGGTTTCCTTGATTATGAAGATGGTTCACCAACAGCTATTTCTCACAAGTTCTCCCCTTTTCTCTTTACACACGTTGGTCCATCTTCATTTATACTTCTCAAATCTATTTAGTATCTGTTGGCTCTTTTCTGTATAAAGTGTATCATTCTGAATGTCTGTAAGAGTACAGCTAACTATGCCTATATTAGGTTGCATCATAGTTACGCCTGATATAGCTAAAACACATACAACCGAAAATACACTGGCCCCATTTTCTCCTTATATATCATGAATGAACAGACCATAAATACTGGATGCACACATAAATGTCCAAAAGTCAATCTTCAGCCCTTAGGCACACAGCCTCATTCAGTCCATGGGCCTAGAGTCCATAACTGCTCCATGTCACCACTTCTGTCACCATCTCTGCTGTCGCTGCTTCTTCAGTCAGGAATCCCAGATCCCAAGTTCCACTCATGCTCTTCCTTCTTGATGACCTGGGATTGTCCATTCCTGAAATGAAAAATAGCTATTCCCTCCTTTTAGTTACATATCTTCATTCAGCTGTTCCTTCTCTCCATGTCCTCATCTCTGCCTCCATTTCTGTTGTCGCTGCTTCTCTGGATAAGGTCCTACATTCCGCTCATGTGCCATATGCTCTTATTTTTAATTTGTAATAATTTGATATAAATTTACAATGTAGTAGAATCATTATAAAGAATAAATTTGGTTAAAATTAGTACAAGATGAAAATAACTTTATTTTCATTATTTGATGTTTGTTATTTCAGAACTCTGTTTTGTTTAAATATTTTAAGTAAAAATATTTAATGCATCTTAGTAAAAATCTTTTTGGTCATAAATGTAAATACATTGAGTTTATGTCTTGATTAATGTGTAAATCCCTTAGGTCTTTCAATGAATTGCTATAGGCAGGGTTTCGTGGTGTCTCATTTGTTCATATATAAGAATGACTGTGAATTACTATGTTGTTCTTGTCAAATGCCATTGAGTTGCTTCCAGCTCATAGCGACCTTGTATAGGGTGTTTGAGGAGCAGCTGGTGGGTTTGAACTGCTGACCTTGTGAGTCGCAATCCAGTGCTGATCCTACAGCGCCACACCAGGAGTTCATTAAATAACTGTGAGCAATGAATAACAAATATGCTATCCTCTTTAGGCTACTTAGTCTAAATTAAGAGTTACTGTTACATGCTGTCCAGTTGGTTCTGACTCATAGAGATCCTGTATAGGGTTTCTGAGGAGCCGCTGGTTAAATTTGAATTGCTGACCATGTGCTGATCCTTCAGAGTCATACCAGGAGTAGTAAAAAAGATTGGGCCAAGAGGATATAAGGAGGGCACAAGAGGTGTTCAGTATGGCAGCTACCATACCATCCATTGTCTGCTCCCTGCTTATTTTTCATCATCATCATTACCTCTGCCAGACTACTACACTGAAATTCTACACTAGCAGAAATTTCAGATTCTTGAGCATGGTAAGCTCTTAGAGTAGTGTAGTGTGATGTTAAGCAGATGGGCTCTATTGCCAGGTGCCTATAACTTATGAGTTGAATTATATGAACCCCACCAGCTCTTAACTATGTGGTTCTAGGATAATTGCTTCAACATTCTGTGCCTCTAGTTCTTCATCTATAAAATAGGGATAAGTGTCTGGCCAGAGTAAAAGTCAATGTATTATTTATTACTCTTTTTACCAATATTGTTGCTGTTATTACTTATTGCCACTGGGCTTTCCAACATGTTGTTTCCCCTGCCTGGAGTGTTTTGTCTGAATCTTTTTACTCTTGTTCTCTTCAATTATGGGTTAATGTTTTCCCCATCCTTCAGGTGTCAGGTGAAAAATGATTTCCACTGGGAAGGGCTCCTTAACTCCTTCAATTAAGTCAGGCTGCCCAGTACATAAGAACCCCTTATAGTTTCCTCATAGCACATTTGTTGTTGTTAAGTGCTGTAGAGTCTGTTCTGACTCATAGAAACCCTGCATAGGGTTTCCAGGGAGTAGCTAGTTGGTTTGAACCACCAATCTTGTTAGCAGTGCAGTGTTTACCCTACAACACCACACCAGGACTCCATTAGTCACACTTTATTGTACTGTTTTCATTGTTTCCATGTTGACTTTTGCTGAGTTCTTGTCATATTTGAGCACTGAAAGTATAAATGGTTGGATTGGGTTGATTTACTTCTGTGGTCAACTTTGAAGGCTAATGTGGGGAGAGGAGTGCAATTCCATTTGGATAAAGAAGGCATGGTAACAATTTTACCTACACACGGTGCAGCAGCTTAGTAGGTGTCTTTGTGTGAATGACAGTGAAAGTTTTTAAGTCCTTTATTGTCCCTGAAGTAAAAGATGAAAGGCACAAGCAACAGTAAAACCAGTGCTTAGTTTTACTGTTGATGGTGCCTTCAATGTTTTGGTTTTTTTTACAGTACTAAGTTTTTTGATCAGAAGGGAAAATGGGGATGGTCAACCAAGGTCAAAGCATAGAATTATTATCACATAAAAATGGTTTGGGGTAACGACCAAGGGGCAGGCTTGCGGGGTGTACCATTTGGTTGGTTGATGATGCATGGAGGGGATTGTAACCATGGCAATGTAACAATATACGATAGGATGAATGTAAAGCTAATGTTCTCCCACGTAAGCTATCACATAATTCACAATAAAACATTTTTTTAAAAAATGGTTTTAGGTAGAGTTTAAAGTCTTGTGATTAATTGTGGACAGTTCTAGCATCTTTGCAAATCTATATTTTGAAGGTATATATTTTTTGTGCTTCATTATTTTCTTGGGAAGGATATTTAATAATAATGTATTGAGCCCTCAGTAGAAATGCTGCATAACCAAGTAGTGTCTTTTGATATATATAGTCATAAAGTGGAAAACCAAAAAACCAAACCCACTGCCATACTGTTGATTCCAACTCATAGAGACCCTTAGAGCAGGGTAGAACTTCCCCATAGGGTTTCCAAGACTTTATGTAAGCAAACTAGCACATCTCTCTCCCTTGGACTAGATAGTGAGTTTGAACCATCAACCTTTTGATTAGCTCAGTATCCAAGTGCTTTAGTCATAGTGCTACCTAGAATTAGTAGTGTGGTTCTGTGAGAAAAGTGTGCTGTATATAACATGTGTTATATACATACAGTGTGTCTTTTGATATTATACTTTGAGTAGGGGTCCTAAAGGGTTTTTTTTTTGCACAGTTTGAGTAGAGTTTAGTCCATATATTATTATAATGTATTTTAATAATATATTGTTTTAATTTTTAGCAAATATTTTTATGTTATCCAAATTTGAGCTTCTTTGCTATATTAAATTTCAAAATTCATTAACAAATCTTTAGTTTATAATTCAAGTATTTTCAGGTGAGTGATTTGCTTTGAAATTGTTTGCTCTATAAGAGGATTCTAATAGACATTTATCCGAACATGGCCATGCAGACTTTACTCTTGAAATCATATTTAATTTTGAGAAATAAATTTGTGATAAACCTTTATTGTATAAATGTTATAATGTCATCTTATATGCATTTCTCAGGAGAGTTAAGCCTAAATGTAGCCATGTGATACACCAGTGATGCTTTATTAGTTTTCTGTCTTGAAAAGTGTATATACGTGCATTCTGTCCTTGGGATTTCAATGTTTGTAGAAAAATATCTTAGAATAAATTGTCTCATGAACAATTTTGTTGAGGAAAATTCTCGTGCTTAAGCTTGTCAAAGTCTAAATCCATTGTTTAAATTCTTCTTTTATTTTTCTAGAGTTAAGCTGAAATATGTAAAATTAAAGAAATACCTGAAGGAAATATGTGAATCGGAAAAGAAGGCTCATACTCGAAACCGGAACTATTTAAAGCAGTGTGAGCATGTGCAAGCTCATACTGCGCATTTCACCACAAATACAGAAAAGCTTAAAGAACTGAAGGTGAAGTCTTATTTTATACTATGCGGTTTTTTTCTTTAATCATCTTTTGCTAAAATTGGAAGTAATGGGTAGGAAGTTTCAGATCAGGGCCAGGCACTAATGTTCATTTGTTCATGTGTAGGATAGATAAAGTACCAATTTTTTCTGTGAATTAATTTTTGGCCAAATTTTGATCAGAAAACTTCAAATTGCATTTTTCTGTAATTCCTACTTTAGTTGTAAAATTTTTGGACTAGTTATAATTAGTATTTGTATTAGTTAATACTACAGTAATACCTAATATAGGCACAGTCACTAATCAATAGCTGGCACAGTGCCTAACACATGGCGGCCCCTTCCAGGATTGCCAGCTGGATAATAAATAGTTATTGTGAATGGTGCCACAATGAGCATTGGTATTAGTAATCTGTGTTTGAGTCTCTGCTTTTAAGATTTTAGGTATATACCTTAGAATAGGGAGTCCTGTTGTGGTGTTGTGGGCTAATGTACTAGACTGCAACGTCGGTTTGAACTGCAATGTCAGCAGTTCATGCTTACCAGCTGCTCCTCGGAAACCCTAAACAGGATCACTATGGGTCAGAACTGACTCCATTAGCACTTAACAACAACAACCTTAGAATGGAATTGCTGGGTCATATGGTAGTTCTATTTTTTGTTTTTTGAGAAACCATTTTTTCCACAACACTTGTACCATTTTGCATTCCTATCAACAATGGGTTGTTGCTGGTAAGTGTCATCAAGTCAGTTCTGACTCATAGTGACCCTGTATAGGGTTTCCAAGGATTGGCTCGTGGCTTTGGACTGCCACTGTTGTGGTTAGCAGTCAGTCCAGTGTTTATCCTACAGAACCATACCAGGACTCCATCAGCAATAGGTAAGAAAGGGCTCCAATTTCCTCATATTCTTGACTTGTTAATTTTTTGGGTTTTTTTTGTTAGTCATATTGGTGGGTATAAAATGGTATTTGTGGTTTTAATTTGGATCTCTCTGATGGCTAATAATGCTGAGTACCTTGTCATGTGTTCGGTGGCCATTTTACTGTCTACTTTCGGGAAATATCTGTTGAAATTATTAGCCCATTTATGATTGGATTATTTTTAGTTTTGTTTTTCAGATATTGAAGCTTTAAATATTCTGACTATTGTATCATTTTAAATATATTTTGGTCATTATATCATGGAATAAAATACTGGACCACAAGGCCAGTTTGAACCACAAGGTGGTGGTTCAGACTCACCAGCTGCTCCTTGGAAACCTTATACAGGGTCGCTATAAATTGGAATCGACTCAATGGCAGTTACCAGCAACAACATTGTATCATTTAAATATGTTTGGCTTCTGAAGATACTGTTCAAGCTAGTAGCTTGTCTTGTCACTTTTTTCGGTATAATCTTTTGATGAATAAAAGTATTTAACTTTTGAAGCCACGTTTATTTTGTCTTTTGCTATCTGTGTTTTTGTTAGTATATTAGGTAATCCACTGGTGAAAGCCAGGTCTGACAGTGTTGTCCCTTTATGTCTAGCTGAGAATTTTATGATTTTAGTTTACATTTAGGCCCTTATTTTACTTTTAATTTGTTTTTATGTATGGTGTGAAGAGACTTGGATCCTATCTAATTTTTCTGAATGTGGAAATCCAATTTTCCTAACACCATTTATTGAAGAGATTCTTCTTTCACTATTGAATGGACTTAGCACCCTTCTCAAAAATCAGTTGACTGTAGATATGTGGTTATGTTTCTGGAATCTCAGTTCTATGCTGTTGATCTGTATGTCTATTATTATATCAGTGCCAGGTTGTTGTGATTACTATAGCTGTGTTTGTTGTTTTTGTTAAATGCTGTTGAGTCAGTTTTGACTCATAGTGACCCTGTGTAGGTTTCTTAGGAACAGCTGGTGGGTTTGAACTGCCAACCTTGTGGTTCAAAGTCTATTTTAAAACCAGGCAGTATGAGTCCTCCTACTTTGTTCTCTTTCAACATTGCTTTATCTATTTAGGGACGTCTTCCATTCTACATATAGTTAAGGATTGGTTTATCTATTTTCATAAACAAGGCTGTTGTAGTTTTTTTCTGGATTGCATTGATTGCTTATAGATCTATAGTTTGATGGTGAATAGTATTGACATCTTAGTAATATTAAGACTTCCAGTACATTATCATGGAACATCTTTCCATTTATTTAATTTTTCTTTTATCTCTTTCAGCAATGTTTTATAGTTTTCATTGTACAAGCAAGCTTCAGAAAGTTTGTGTAAAATTTTCAGATTATCTTTAATAAAATAAATGTTAAATTATTAAAAATTAAATACTTATTTCTCCATGACATTTTTGAAGCCCCTTCGTATATGTTCTTGCCATCCCTGGTTAGATTTATTTTTAGGTGCTTCATTCTCTTAGATGCTGTTATAAATGGGATTGTTTGCCTAATTTCCCTTTCAGATTTCTCATTTCAGATATATAGAGAAGCACAACTGAGTTTTGTTTGCTGATCTTATACCCTGTAATTTTGCCAAGTTCCTCTACTAGCTTTAAAAGAGTTCTTGTGGCCTCTTTGGGGCATAAGCAATTTTTAGTCATGTTGTTGTTAAGTGCCATCGAGTTGATTCTGACCCATAGTGACCCTGTATAGGTGAGCTTGAACCACTGACATTGTGATTCAAACTGACTGTGCAGTATCGCTCTTAATCCACAGCACCACTCCAGGACTCCTTTTTAGCCATAGCACTCCAGTTTTTGTTTTGTTTTATTTTGTTTTTTTTTCCTGTTAGTGTACAAGCATGTTGACCCTATGTTTGTGTAATTCAAAATGGCCAATACAATCCATTTCAGCTGACTAATACATAGGATATTGATCTTTAAGCATCCTATTTCATTTTTGACAATTTCTAATTTGCTAGGTTCATGCTTCTTATATCCCAGGTTCTGATTACTAATGGATATTTGCAGCTATTCTCATTTTGAGTCATGCCACATCAGCAACTGAAGGTCCTGAAAGATTGACTTCATCCACAACATTTAAGTCGACTCTGCATTGAAGAGGCAGTTCTGCCCCAGTCGTATTTTGAGTGCCTTCCAACCTGAGGCACTCATCTTCTGGCACTTTATCAGATGATATCCTACTGCTTTTAACAAAGTTTTAAGTGACCAAGGTTTTTAGAAGCAGATGGCCAGGTTCTTCTTCCTAATCTACCTTAGTCTGAAAGCTCTGCCGAAACCTGGCCATCATGGATGACCCAGCTGGTATTTGAGATACTGAGATACTAGTGGCATAGTTTTCAGCATCCCAGCATCATGCAAGCCATGACAGTGTAACAAACTGGCAGACAAGTGGCAGATATATGATCTACTGTGCTGGGAATAACAAAGAGGGATGGATAGTATTGCATTCACCATCCAAAAAAAATGTCAAGGTCTATCCTGAAGTACAGTTATGCCAGTGATGGGATAATAGCCATATGTCATACTAGCACGAAAAACCACTTAGTATGACTATTACTCAAATTGATACACCAACCACTAATGCCAAAGATAAAGAAATTGAAGATATTTAACAAATGGCTGCAGTCTAAAATTGATCAGACATGCAATCAAGATGCATTGGTAATTTCTGGTAATTGGAATGAGAACGTTGGAAACAATTGACAGTTAAAAAACATGGACTTACTGATAGAAATGATGTGGGAGATCTAACAGAATTTGGCAAGACCAATGATATATTCATTGCAAATGCCTTTTTCAACAATATAAAGAGTGACTATGCATGTGGACCTCACCAGATGGACTGTATAGGCATGAAATCAACTTACTTATGGGAAGAGATGCTGGAGAAGCTCTATTTCATCAGTCAGAGCAATGCCAGGGGCTGGCTGAAGAACAGACCATCTATTGCTCAAATGCAAGTTGAAGAAAATTAAAACAAAGCTACAATAGCCAAAGTATGACCTTGAGAACCTTTCACCTGAATTTAGAGACCATTGTAATAATAAATTTGGCATATTGAGTAAGTGTGGGATAGCATCAAAGATACACAGGAAGAAAGCAAAAGGCCATTAAAGAGACAGGGAAGAAAGAATGTACTAAAATGGATATAAGAAGACTCTGAAACTTGCTTTTGAATATAGAGTAGTTAAAATGAATAGTGGAAATGATGAAGTACAAGCTGAGCAGAAGATTTCCAAGGACTGCTTGAAAAGACGAGGTATGGAGTTAGGAAACTAAAAAGGAAGAACAAGCTGAAAGAATTGAAGAAAAAATTCAAGGCTTAAGCTGAAACATTCATACATAGACCAAGAAGAACATATTAGAACAGAGCAAGGAAATAATGAATAGTTTAAAATCAGGAACGATGTGCGACAGTGTTGTATCCTTTCACCGTACTTATTGAATCTGTATGCTGAGCAAAGAATTTGAGAAGTTCGATTATATGGAGAAGACATGACAGCAGGATTGGAAGAAGATTCATGAACAACCTGCGATATGCAGATGACACAACCTTGCTGGAAGTGAAAAGGACTTGAAATACTGATGAGGATGGCACCTCATTGTAAAGAAAACAAAAATCTCACAACTAGACCAATAAATAATCTGATAAATGGAGAAAAGACTGAAGTTGTCAAAGACTTCATTTTGCTTGGATCCATAATCAACATTCATGGATGCTGCAGGTAAGAAATCAAATAACTTATTGCATTGGGCAAATCTGCTGCATAAGACCTCTGTAAAGTGTTATAAAGCAAAGATGTCACTAAGGTGCGCCTGACCCAAGCCATGGTATTTTCAGTCTTATACACATGAAAGTTGGACAATGAATAAGGAACAATTGATGCATTTGAAATATAGTGTTGGTGAAAAATATAGAAAGTACCATGGACTGCCAGAAGAACAAACACTGTCATGGAAGAAGTACAATCGGAACATTCCTTAGATGTGAGGATGATGAGACTTTGCTTCTTGTTCTTTGGGCATGTTGTTAGGAAGGACCAGTCCCTGGAAAAGGAC